AATGATAACACTTAAAGACAATTTTCAATATTTCAGGACAGAGCCCCCACATAAAGTCCAACCTGCTTTCGGGAAGCCTTCAGAGCCTGTGGTGGGCAGTCACTGGCCCGCTTTTTGATTTCCAAGGAGACCCAGCTCAGCAAGGTGGAACCCTTATTCTAGGTCCAGGTGAGCATCAAGGCCAGGTTATGTTTCAGGGCCTGCTACAGTGGAAGAGCCACCCACTTTGCTTATGTGATAGACACTGAAAATGAGAGGCCTGGCTAACGAGGTGGCATGTTTTGGTAAGGAGCATCTTTCATTCTCAGAGGCTTCTGTGTATCAATGTCTGTGGTGACGAGAGTCATCATCATTCAGGGATTGGACTCAGAAAGTAAGCTGTGAGATGCTGACTGATACACAACTATTACACTCTTTTCAAAGTTCAATGGGGCTCAAAGAAATTTCTCAGTGTTTATGAGCACTGGCTGCTCTTACAGGGGACCTAAGTTCAGTTCCCAGCACCTGTATCAGGTGACTCACACCCACTTGGAACTTTAGCTCCTGGGGATTTGATTCCCTCTTCCTGCCTCCTTAGGCACCACCACCACCACTCCACACACACAAGTACACATAATTAAAAATAAAATAAGTCTTTGGCAGCACATATTCTGAAATTGGAACTATAGAAAGAAGATTAGCATGGCCCCTGCACAAAGGATGGCATGCAAATTTGCAAAGTAGTCCATATCTTTCCTTGGGCTCTCAGAGAAATACAGAAACTTCCCATGAAGGAAATGGAGGATCCAGGTGTGCACAGTGATACCGGGCTCAACAGAGCCATCTGGGCCACAGGAATTGGCAGGCCCCAGAGTAAGTCCCTCTACATTTGACAGGAAGATGTAATGAGGGTGAGGATTCACCACACAAGCTCTACACCTCGATAGCCTGTGTCCTTATTTACAGCATTAAAAAAAAAAAAAAAAAAAAAAAAAACAAAAACAAAAAAAAAAAAAAACCATCCACCACCCTCCACTCCCCAGGCAGGGTAGGGCCCTCGACTAGGGATCCCCAAAGTCCACCACATCATCCTGGGCCCTCCCCCATGTGTCCAAGCCAAGAGTATATCCCTTCACATGGGATGGGCTCTCAAAGTCCCTTCTTACACCAGGGAAAATTACTAATCCACAGATTTAGGGTAATACATGTTTTTTCTATAAATGTCTAACATTGCTTGGCTAGCCATAATGGAGAGTGGTGAAAAGAACTTTCTGTCTACATTCTCTACTCTCCAAGCTGATATGACTTTACATTCAGTCATGGCACATGAAAGAATAAGCATCATTTCAAACATGCTTTTAAAAGAAAATAAATTTGTGAAAAGTATCTCACATAACACCTTTGTGATTAAAATTTAAAAATTTATTTTACATGCCAACCACAGTTTCCCCTCTCTCTTCTCACCCTATTCTCTCCCCTACCTCCTTTGTATGCTGCCATTCATTCCACAAAAAGGTAAGTCCTCCCATAAGTGTCAACAAAACATGGCATATCAGGTTGAGGCATCATGAAGATTCTTCCCAGCATCAAGGCTGAGCAAGGCATCCCACCATAGGAACTAGGTTAAAAAAGAGCCAACTCATACAACAGGAAGAGATCCTGGTCCCATGCTAGGGGCCCCACAAATAGACCAAGCTATATAACTGTCATCCACATGCATAGGTCCTAAGTTGGTCCCATGCAGGCTCCTTAGCTAGTGTTCATGAGCTCCTACTACCTTAGGTCTGCTGTCCCTGTGTGTTTCATCATCATGATCTTGACTCCCCCCCCCTACAGTTTTTCATATAATCCCTTCTCCCTTTCTTCACACAAAATCCTGGAGATCAGCCCCGGTCTTGGCAATGTATCTCTGCCTCTGCTTCCTTTAGTTATAGGGTTGAGTATCGCTAATGACAATTAGGGTAGTCACCAATCAGATTACAGGAAAAGGCCAATTCAAGCACCCTCTCCACTATTGCTGAGACAGACATCATATCTTACTGGAATACAATACTTAAAGACAATTTTCAATATTTCAGGACAGAGCCCCCACATAAAGTCCAACCTGCTTTCGGGAAGCCTTCAGAGCCTGTGGTGGGCAGTCACTGGCCCGCTTTTTGATTTCCAAGGAGACCCAGCTCAGCAAGGTGGAACCCTCATTCTAGGTCCAGGTGAGCATCAAGGCCAGGTTATGTTTCAGGGCCTGCTACAGTGGAAGAGCCACCCACTTTGCTTATGTGATAGACACTGAAAATGAGAGGCCTGGCTAACGAGGTGGCATGTTTTGGTAAGGAGCATCTTTCATTCTCAGAGGCTTCTGTGTATCAATGTCTGTGGTGACGAGAGTCATCATCATTCAGGGATTGGACTCAGAAAGTAAGCTGTGAGATGCTGACTGATACACAACTATTACACTCTTTTCAAAGTTCAATGGGGCTCAAAGAAATTTCTCAGTGTTTATGAGCACTGGCTGCTCTTACAGGGGACCTAAGTTCAGTTCCCAGCACCTGTATCAGGTGACTCACACCCACTTGGAACTTTAGCTCCTGGGGATTTGATTCCCTCTTCCTGCCTCCTTAGGCACCACCACCACCACTCCACACACACAAGTACACATAATTAAAAATAAAATAAGTCTTTGGCAGCACATATTCTGAAATTGGAACTATAGAAAGAAGATTAGCATGGCCCCTGCACAAAGGATGGCATGCAAATTTGCAAAGTAGTCCATATTTTTCCTTGGGCTCTCAGAGAAATACAGAAACTTCCCATGAAGGAAATGGAGGATCCAGGTGTGCACAGTGATACCGGGCTCAACAGAGCCATCTGGGCCACAGGAATTGGCAGGCCCCAGAGTAAGTCCCTCTACATTTGACAGGAAGATGTAATGAGGGTGAGGATTCACCACACAAGCTCTACACCTCGATAGCCTGTGTCCTTATTTACAGCATAAAAAAAAAAAAAAAAACCTACAGACAGAAAAACAGACAAAAAAGCAGAGTGGTGGTGGTACACATCTAATCCCAGCACTTGGGAAGCAGAGGCAGATAGAGCTCTGATTTCAAGGCCATTCTAGTCTACAGAATGAGTTCCAGGACAGCCAAGGGTATAAAAAATTAAAAAGCTTAAAAAACAAAAACAAAAGAGCCCTACAGACAGTTAATGTGAATGAAAATATGTAATAAAGTTAGCCAGGCGGTGGTGGAGCACGCCTTTAGTCTGAGCACTTGGAAGGCAGGGGCAGGTGGATCTCTGTGAGTTGGAGACCAGCCTAGTCTACAAGAACAAGTTCCAGGACAGCCTCCAAAGCCACAGAGAAACCCTGTCTGGAAAAACCCAAAAAAGAAAATATGTAATAAAAGTTACAGAACTGCCAAAATGTAAGTTCAGTAGGCACCAGCCAGATAGCTCCCCGGGTAAAGACACTTGCTGTTCAAGCTTGGAGAGCTGAACTCCTTCTGTAATTGAAAGAATCTTTGTTTTTACTAGCTAATCTAGGAGCTCCACACAGTGGTGGAAAGCCCATTCCGAAGTGAGAACTGCCATAACACACAGGCTTCAACAACTTCGTGACTGTGTCTGGGCCAGAGATGCCTCTGGCTCCACCCTGGTCACTGTGGCATAGGCAGATTTTTCTTCATTCTTCTGCCTCTTTAAAATTGTACCTGCTAGTGAGTTATTATTAACACTTCTGTAAAAAACAGACTATTGAAAGGACTCCTTTTGACTGAGTTGTTTTGGTTTTTTACAGCAGGCATGCTTGTACCCGTCTCTCACAAACTTAAATCAAAAAAAAAAAAAAAAAGAAGAAGGGTGGGGTGGTGGTGGTGGTGCCTGCCTTTAATCCCAGCACTGGAAAGCAGAGACAGGTGGATCTCATCAAGTTTGAAGCCAGCCTGGTCTATAGAGTGAGTTCCAGGATAGCCAGGACTGTTACACAGAGAAACCCTATCTGGAAGGGGGGGAAACCCTTTGAAGCTGGAGTTGTAACTCAGTGGCAGGTGGATTGCTTCCTGGGCTCAGTACTAATAAGTAAATAAATGAGCCCATTTGAGTCCTATAAATTTACCCAAAATACTACTGAACCACTTGGAATCTTGATTTGTTGCTTCTTTTTGAGTTCACTAGGGCAGGGCTGTGTGTCCACTCTGCACCCTCAGCTTAGAGCTCTATCCTTTCTGTCCCTTCCCTTCCCTTCCTCCCTCTCTCTCTCCTCCCTCTTCCCCTCCCTCCCCCCCCCTTGAGACATGGTCTCCCTATATATTTCTGGCTGTCCTAGAACTCACTATGTAGATCAGGCTGGCATGGAACTCACAGAGATCCACTTGCACCACCACAACCTGGCTTACCATGGCAACTCTTACAGGAAAACATTTAATTAGAGCTGGCTTACAGTTCAGAGGTTTAGTCCATTATCATGACAGGAAGCATGGATACCATGGCAACTCTTACAGGAAAACATTTAATTAGGGCTGGCTTACAGTTCAGAGGTTTAGTCCATTATCATGACAGGAAGCATGGTGGCATGCCAGCAGACATGGTGCTGGGGAGATAGTTAAGAGCTCTATATCCGGTTTGGCAGGCAGCAAGAAGAGAGAGAGCAACTGGCTAGTTTGAGCTGAAACCTCAAAGCCCGCCACTGTTGATATACTTCTAATAAGACCACAGCTACTCCAGCAAGGCCACATGCCCTAATCCTTTCAAATAATGCCACTCACTGTAAGCCAAACCATAGCCATGTTTTCAGGGGATGAAGAATTAAACCTGTTACTATAGGTGTGGCCAGTGGACGTAATGTCAAAAACATATCCTTTGATCTAATGTTTCAAGTTAAATTCTGGTTTTGGCTATCTGGTGGCATACACCTTTAATCCCAGCACTTTGGAGGCAGAGGCAGGAGGATCTCTGTGACTTCAAGGCTAGCCTGGTCTACATAGTGAGTTCCAGCCAGTGCTACATACTAGAGTGATCCTGTCTCAAAACAAACAATTCTGGTTTTGAGTTCAAGATGGGACAAACAGGACTTAGACAATTAATTATAACTTAATTGAGTGGATAGAATTTTGGGTGTATAAGTGTGCTAATTGGCTTACTGCCTTCTCTTTCAACCTCTTAGGTTAGTTATAAAACATCCTATGAGATCAGTGTTTTTCTTTCCTTCTCTTTTTTATTTTGGCAGTGCTAGGGATGACCCAGATCCTCAGGAGTACTGCACCCCCTAGCTCCAGGAGTGAATTTTTTGAACCAAATGATTTATTAGTGCATGTGCTTAGGAAGTAGATGTAATTTCCCAGCTGATACCTAAGTTAGTCCCAGATTCTGCCTGTCTGATTGGATGTTTTATTTAATTATACTTGATGAAACTGAATAGAAGGGTATAATTTAGGATGCTATCCCCTCAGAGCTCATAACGTGTTAAATAACACTCTTATTCAACCATTGCCTTGTCATGGTTAATTGCCATGATGCAGAATTATGGTGGCATTACATAGGGAATATAATGGACTCCAGATAATTGATTTTTCCCTTTGGACTAATTAGGAGTTGAGATGGGCCTGGATCCTGGTAAGCAGTAAATCTAAAGACTAGTTCGTCATTTGCCCTCAGCATTTTTGTCCTTGTTCTCTTCTAGGTAACAGCATCCACTTTGTGCACCGAGACAGGAATAGGTTGGATCACAAACCCATAAACTCTGTTTTACAGCTTGTGGGAGTTCAGCCTGTGAACTTCATGAGCAGACCTACAGTTATCCATGTGTGACTTCACATGGGATCTTCCACTTGTGAATGGGCCCTTGAAATGTGAACCAAAATGCCAGGCATCATGACTTCAAGAGGTTATGAAAACACAAAGCTCATTCGCCTATAGAGCTATATGCTGAAAGGTATCAGTTGCCAGAAATGGGATAGGCATTTTAAATTTTATGGCCTCTATAATTATCCATTCAATAGAAAATTTTGGCAACCAAAACATAAGAAGGGGGCTGGAAAGATCACTCAGTGGTTAAGAGCACTTGCTTCTCTTGCAGAGGACCCAGGTTTGATTCCCAAAACCCACATGGTGGCTCACAATTGTCTGTAACTCCAGTTCCAAGGGATCCAACACCTGGCCTTTAGGCACCAGGTGCACATGTGGTGAACATGCATAAATGTAGGCAAGCACTCATACACATAAAATAAGAATAAAATCTTCTAAAACTGTGTGTGTGTGTGTGTAGGGAAGTGAAAAATGGGCCAGGTCTGATGGCACAGGCGAGTAGTCCTAACACTAAGACATGGGGACAAGAGTCCAACCTGAGCTATATGGGAAAGAGCCTTCCTCAGAAAAATAGTTAATGGAAGGGGAGAATGTACAAAGGGAAAGGAAAGCAACTCAAGACAGTTTTATTTAGTAGGGGCAGGGAAACACAACAGATTTTTAAATTCTGTAAATGGTGTAACCATGTATACGTGTATGTTTTAATTTTTGTGCTCTTGGAGAAAAGATGGTAAATAAACACTGTACAAGCCGGGCAGTGGTGGTGCACACCTTTAATCCCAGCACTCGGGAGGCAGAGGCAGGTAGGTGGATCTCTGTGAGTTCGAGACCAGCCTGGTCAGCCTCCAAAGCCACGGAGAAATCTGTCTTGAAAAAACAAACAACAAACAAAAAACCACAGTACAACACTGCCAGTAGGTAGGTGTGTGTGTGTATGTGTGTGTATGTGTGTGTCTGTGTCTGTGTCTGTGTCTGTGTCTGTGTCTGTGTCTGTGTGGTGAGGGTATGTGTGTTTCTGCTTGCTTTTCAAGTTCTGTATTTCCTGTGCTTTTTATAAGCTCAGCTGACTTGGAGGTGGGGCAGGAAGTACTTAGACATGGAAGGGCAAATGCCTGCTTACATAAAACTTCATGGAGGTGCAAGTGAGGAGACATTGGTTAATGAGTGACTGAGATGGCAGAGGGCCTGGTCAGTACCCACCCACCACCTATGGCACTAGGATTGTTTTGGTAGAATTATGTGAGTTGAGGGAAATAATTGGTTTGATTTGGTTTAGGGACTGCTCTTGGGAATCAAAACCAAAGTTTTCATGCAAGTGAACATATTCTCTTATCATTGAACTACATCCTCAATTGTGACCATTTTTTAAATATCTAGAACAGGAGCACCTAGAACATGCACATAACCACACACACACACACACACACACACACACACACACACACACAAAACAAAAAAACAGAACAAAAAAAAAAAAGATCTACTATATAGAATATAGAATGCTTTTTGAGAGGCAATGTTAAGATTTTTTTAAGCTTTGTAATGTAAATGCTTAAGCATATTAGCCCATGCCTGTAATCTCAGCACAGGCAAAGGCATTGAGAGCAATGTTGCAGGCTAGTCTGGAGTACATATTGAGTTCCAGGGCATTCTGGACTATGTATAGTGAAACCATGTCTCAGAAATAACAAAAAGCAAATGTGCAGCCATATGTGATGGTTCATGGGGAGGAGGCAGGAGGATCTCTTAAGTTCTAGGACAGACTGATCTCAAAAACAAAAGAAATGTACATTGGGCTAGGTTGTACATTCCTAGACACCTGCTTTTTCTTGTCCCCCAAATCTGTCTTATTTAGAAAACTATTGTCATATTTTGCTTTGGTTTTTTTTTTGTTGTTGTTGTTCTTTTTTTTTTTTTTTTTTTTTTTTGTTTTTTTTGACAAGGTTTTTCTTCTGTGTAGCTTTGGAGCCTATCCTAGCACTCCTTATTTTGCTTTTTAAGAATCTTAGTTTTGGCCAGGCAGTGGTGGTTCATACCTTTAATCCCAGCACTCAGGAGGGAAAGGCAGGCAGATCTCTTCAAGTTTGAGGTCAGCCCAGTCTACAGAGCGAGCTCTAGGATAGCCAAGGCTACACAAACCCTGTCTTGAAAAACCAAGGGAGGCATAAAAGAACCTTAGTTTTTTGTTTGTTGGTTGGTTGGTGTCTTTTTTGGTTTTGGTTTTGGTTCTTTGAGACAAGGTTTTTCTGTGTGGCCTTGGCTACCCTGGAACTTTGCTCTGTACACCTACTAGCCTAGAACTCAGAGATTCACCTGCCTTTGCTTTACAAGTGCTGGGATTAAAGGTGTGTGCCACCACCACCCAGCTTTAAGAATCTTAGTTTTGTACTAGAAATTCTCATGAAAACTATCACAAAATCAAAACATTGGTAATCCTTAGCAACTGTAATACTACTATGACCTTATACTTTTATATAAAGCATATTAAGTCACAAAACTGTATTTTAATGTATTTTCACGTGAGTATATATGGACAGTCATGTTTTTAAATCAATAAAAATGAGAATTTTCAGAATTTAATTTTTTTTTTTGCTATCTTGTTTGGGATATTTTGTTTGTTCTGGGGTTCTTTGTGGGTGAGAGAGTACGTAGTTAATATGTAGTAGGCTGGCTTAGAATTCTCTAGCCCATGGAGAGATGACTCAGATGTAAAGAGCACATCCTCTTCGTACATAGGTCCTGGTTTTGTTTTCCTGCACTGATATCACAATGGCTCCTCACAATGGCTCTAACTCGAGTTCCAGGGGATCTGGGCTCAGCAGTAGCTGCATGCACATGGTGTACATGTAATCTGATACATACACATACATATGTAGGGGATCAATCTTATGTACATGTACTCTGATACATACATATAAAATGTAAGGAATAATCTTAAAACAATAAACCTCTCTAACCTAGGCTGGTCTTGAATTCTCAGGCCTCCTGCCCCAACCTGTTAAGTGCTAGGATTACAGATATGTGCTGCTACACCCAGCCTCTTCTATTCTGAACATAAAAAAAAAAAGAGTAGTAGCCAGACCCTCTTTTCCAGTTTTAACCAAAATATATATATTTGCAAGTGTAAGTAAATGACATTTATGTGGCTTTATCAGGTATAGTTCCATAAAGACTGTGCAGGTGGTTGTCACCCAAACAAACACATGTAACACCAAGGCAATAGCTGGGTATGGTGGTGTCTTAATCATTGTTCTATTGCTGTGAATCAACACCATGGCCAAAGCAACTTTTTTTTAATTACTTCGCAACAATTTATTTTACTACCAAGTACTTTTTTTCAGTCTCTAGCACTTGAACTGCATTTATGAATACTTAATTCATTTTCTTGTTTTTATTAGTCACAGACATATATATCTTAAAATGAAGCACAACTAATAAGTACTAAGCTAGCAATGGGAGAAATAAACAGACACAAAACCATAGTAAATTTTATTAATGAGTCTACATTTTCATGAACAAATGAGGCCTGGCTATGTGTATATGCTTAATTTTCAGTTGTTAGATTTAGAATATTTAAAATAACACAAGATTTAGAATATTTAAAATAACACAAGAACTCCTATTGATGCTTTCTGGGATTCCTGGAGATCTGAGAATTAGAGTTTGGCAAAAATGAAGTGGACCTTATCAAAATCCCAAGCTGTCCTCAAACATTGAAAGTATTTTCTCCTAATTTTATTTTTCCTTTATTTTCTTACAAAATCACTGTTACTAGTGTTTGTGCCCTCTGATTTCACACTCTTTCTTGAGAATAAACAAGAGAGTCACTCAAAATCCTGCCACTGAAAATGAGGTCTATGGACCGATGTCTTGTTATCGGGTATATCCTTATGAATGCTGGATCTCAGCTCTGGGCACTCAGCGCCCAAATCAACACCATAGCAAGATTCCAAAGTGTTTTGTACAGACATGAAATTGAGAAGCACCAGATTACATTTCAAAATGAAATTCAATGGAAACCAGTGTTGTAGTGAATGCTCATCCCTGATGGATTTTCATGAGCAAGCCATGCAAACACCATATCCATGCCCAAGGAGAAAAGGACCTGTTGTCCAACCTCAAGATCCAACCTGTTAGTCTCATAAAAAGAATCAACTTACCTTCTGTTGTTTTGTTAAACATGACCAAAAGCAACTTGGTGAGGTAAAGATTCAGTGTATCTTACAGTCTACAGTCCATCATTAAGGGAATAGGTCAAACAGGAACTCGAGGTGTGAGCTTGAGGTGGAAACCTGGAGGAATGTGGTTTATTGGCTTGCTCCCTCTACGTCATGAGCAGAATCACCTTCCAAGGGATCCCACAGGCCACCGGGGCTGGGCCCAATTACAGAAATTAGCTATGAAGACAATTGAGCCAAAGCAACTCTTTTGTTGTTTTCCAGACAGCCTTGACTGTCTGTAGACCAGCACCTGCCTCTGCCTCCTGAGTGCTAGGATCAAAGGCATGTGCCACGACCACCCAGCAGTATTCCCTATTGTTGGTACAATTCTGCACTTTTAAAAGGGCATTTAAGGGGCTGCAGAGATGGCTCAGCAGGTAAGACCACTGGATTCTTTTCCAAAGGTCCTGAGTTCAATTCCCAGCACTCACATGGTGGCTCACAACCATCTATAGCAGGATCCAATGCCCTCTTCTGGCATACAGGTGTACATGCAGATAGAGCACTCATGTATGTAAAATAAATAAATCTTTAAAAAAAAAAAAGACAAAAGAAAAACAAAAAAAGGCATTTAAGCCAGGTGGTGGTGGTGTTGCATGCCTTTAATCCCAGCACTCAGGAGGCAGAGGCAGGTGGATCTCTGTGATTTCAAGGCCAGCCTAATCTATGGGAGTGAGCGCCAGGACAGGCTCCAAAACCTGTCTCGCAAACAAACAAAAAACCATTTAATTGGCTTACAGTTTCAGAGGCTCGGGGCATTGGCATCCTGGCAGGAAGCATGGTGGCACATAGGTGTTGTGAGACCTTTACATCTTGATCTGTTGGAAGTGAGAGAGACAAGGGGGGAGGGACTGACTCTGGGCTTCTGGGTTTTTGAAACCTCAGAGCCCACCCTCAGTGATATATTTTTTCCAACAAGGCCACACCTCTTAACCCTTCTAATCCTTTCAATCAGCCCCAGTCCCTGGTGATAAGCATTCAAATATATGAGTCTATGGAGGACCATTCTTATTCAAACCACCACAGGTAGCCTATTCTTATGGTCCCCCTTACTTGGGAGACAAATCACTCATTGGAGCCCAAGACCAGTCTGGGCATTTGTGTGTGTGTTATAAAATTATCTGTAATGCACACTGAACTATATAAATATACTCCCAGGTCCAGGTCATGATTATACTAGAATTGAAATCCTGAAACCTTTTCTGTAAAAAAAAAAAAAATAGAAATTATAGATAAAACAGTAATATTGGGCTGGAGTATGGCTCAGTACTTGCCTAGCATGTTTAAGGCACTGGGTTCATACAACCAAAAAAACAAAACAAAAATGCACATTTGGTGGTGCCTCTGTGTTCACCAGATGATCTATACACTCTTTGCATGTTGTGTGGAATGACTGTTATAACCATCATCCATAATACACATTTCACAGAGAACATTTTTTAATTAATTAATTTATTTATTTATGTGTACAGTGTTCTGCCTGTATGCATGCCTGCACACCAAAAGACGGCACCAGATCTCATTACAGATGGTTGTG